TTTAAGTAAAGATTTGGGTTAAAAGTTTCATCTCATGCCAAGCACACCTACGCTAAATTTTCAATTTTTATCAAACAACCAGTTAACCGGAAGGATGTCTAGGAGATCGACTGGCCTAGTGTAAATTTTTTTCAAATTTTTCCCAATTCGATCGTCCACTCGGTTGTTCGGCTAGTCATCCACCAACAGTCACTTGCGAAATTTGATAAAATATCAAACGCTCTCTTGATTTGATTAAAAAAAAAAAAAGATAAGGCTCCCTTTCATTTAATACCAATTTAGTAAAACTGTTGGAATACTATTTTCATCAAATTTTTATCAAATTTAAATTTAATAAAAGATTTGAGTCTGGTCCCCCCCAAAACACACACACACACACACACACACACACACACACAAAAACTAGTTTGATTATTTTAAGTCAAAAATATTTTAATTGTTTGGTTTCAGCTTATTTCATTAACAATATAGAAAAATTAATTTTTTAAACAGGATGCACCCTATTGGCAAGTACTAAAAAGCCACAATTTTTTTAAAAAAAATTTGTCTTTAGTTAATTTCTTTTTTACTTTTTAAATATTTCTAGCGTAGAAGGATCTAAAAAAGTTTTTTTTAAATCACTAAAGACACAAAAAAAAAAATAATAATAATAATAATAATTCCAAACCCTACCTAAACTTTTCTAATAACAAAATTTTGAGAAATTGACTAGTAAAATCTCATTTTGTAGACTTGTAATCTAAAAGATCCTAAATATTTTTGTTAGTGACTGAGTGATCCCTTAAATTATTTGTTGACTGTTTTGCCATTGTTAGTATAGTTGGGGGACAAGTGGCGTGGTTATGTATGGGAAAGGTGGTGGGGTGTTTGTGTGTCACATTGTTCGAAAAACGCACTAGTAACTTTTTAAAGTTTGGTTATTTTTAACACGTAAAGTGTGGGATATAAATTCCTTACTAATTATTTTTTGACGCGTGACGTGAAGATGCACAGAAATTCAATCAAATTGGGTTCACCACCTTGAAGTGTCACATGTCACGTTTAGGAAAAGTACACTAAATAGTTTTTAATTTTTTTAGAGTGTCACAACATACCCGCCACGTTGTTACATTTGAAAAAAGTATACTAAGGATTTTTTTTAGAGTGTTACATCATACCTACCACGTTATCACATTTGAAAAAAGTACACTAAGAATGAGTAAAAATTTTGAAGTGTCACATCATGCTTACCTTGTTGTCATAGTTGAAAAAAGTATACCAGGGAGTTTTAATTTGAAAAAAGTACACTAAGAATGAATAAAAATTTTGAAGTGTCACATCATGCTTACCTTGTTGTCATATTTGAAAACAGTATACTAAGGAGTTTTAATTTTTTTGAAGTGTCACGTTGTTAGAGTGTCATATTAATACCTACCATATTGGAGTATCACACTATACCTATCACACATTCCAAAAAAAAAAATAACTTCCTCAATTAACTAATAAGGGTATATTGTCTAACCAATACTCATCCACATTTGAAAAAAGACTTACTGGTCACACACTATACCTAATAAGAACTCCTCAATCAACCATTTAAAATATGGGACCAAATGGTACCAAAGTTCTCAAAATAGGCCTTTCCACTAAATTTTTCCAAATTTTTTTATTTCATTGTTTTAACAACTTTATTTTGAAAAAATTAAAAAAATAAATAAATAAATTTACAGGCATCGATGGACCGGGAGATTTGAAGCTCATCTATGGGATAAAGGGTCCTGGAATGCAACACAGAGGAAGAAGGGAAAGCAAGGTAGTTACAATACACTTTTTTTATTTTGGTTTCTTTGTTATATGCTTTCATTTCTTGGAAAAATCAGAAAAACTTGTTTGGCAAATTAATTTGCGATCTGGAAAATTTTCTTAAAACAACTACTTTTTGGGAAATGCTACGACTTCTTGGTGTTTCCTAGAAAGTGCAATTATGCTACGAATGCAGAAACCTATCATAGAACCACTAAGATTTTACAATTTTTCAATCAGATTCATTTTTTAAAAATCTTATCCGCCTAGTTTATGTGTTTGTAGACTTACTCTACAAAGTGGATTGTTTTTACAAAAAAAATCCATAAACTTTTTTTGCACTAAAAAGAAAAACGGTTTGAAAATAATGGGTATTTTCAAAATTTTAATTGTTTTGTTTCCAAACAGAAAATACAAAAATGAAAACAACAAAAAGACCAAACAACCTTTATGACGTTTCTATTTTCATTGCTAATTCCTTGTTCATTGTTTTGTGATTCTGATTTCGCATTCGGTGCTATGGTTGGATTGGAGCAGTATATCTTGGTTAGTACCTCTCAAATAACAAATCTATCTTTTGATGGATTTATTATTCACATTAGGTTTTCTTGACAATTGGCACATGTTTATCACCACAAAATGTGTGTGTAATTCTGCCAAGTCTTAATCATGTCTTTGGATCGATAAATACCCGCATGAGATACACAGACATGAACTTCAAAACATTCCATATAAAACAATCTAGACAAGAGAGATCACTTTTGTGACATCTTGTTTGAATTGACTTATATTGAGAGTGTTAAAAAATTAAATTTCATAGGGACCATAACCTTTTAGAGGTTGTAATTGGTTTTCAAAACTGAAAGGTTGTGGAAGTTCAGAAGGAATGAAAACCAATTTTAACCATTATTGGTTTTAATTTCTATTTATTGGTTTTCAAAACTGAAAGGTTGTGGAAGTTCAAAAGGAATGAAAACCAACTTTAACCATTGTTGGTTTTGATTTCTATTTACTGGTTTTCAAAGCTGAAAGGTTGTGGAAGTTCAAAAGGAATGAAAACCAACTTTAATCAATATGTTTTAATTTCTATTTCTGCCCCTCATAGAAATAGAAATTATACAACTAGTATCTACACATTAGGTCCATAACACATATACCCTTAAGCCTATTAACTAAATTGAATCACTTAAATTGTAGACTTCTTATAAATGATAACACCACATTTAATTATGTGGTCCCATTGAGACATTATCTAACAACCTAACCTTGAAACTTCATTGTAAGTATCATCATCCTATATCAATGCTTCCAACCTTCGAGGGGTGATGTTGTTCCTTCAGAGTTGTGCCACAAGACCTTCGAACGATGAATTTGGCCTTTTATACCACCTTCGAAGCTTGTTATTGATCATCTAGTCATAATTTTATGCTCATTCGAAGTACTTTATTGGTGTTGTTATATCATTCGAAGCACTTTGTTACTTAGATTAGTCATGTGCTTAGTTCGGCCCTTTAAAAATTTAAGTAAACATCATTTTTAAGGGCCGCGGGGGGTAATGTTAGCACCATAAATCTACAATTTTATTATTATTTATTTTTTATATAATTGCAGGACATGTGGCATCCTTCTACTCATTTGGAGGTTATGAGAAGTTATGAAATGTGAAAAGATGATGGAGAATAAAGTGGAGAACATGGAGTATGAAGTGGAGGTTAAAGGAAGTTATGGAAAATCATGTAATAGGAAATGGAGGAGGTGGAAGAGTGGGTAGTTTTAGGTAGTTTTTTCCTACAAATGTTTGCCTATAATTGGCTACATTGCATGGAATCCAGAATTCAAATCAAAGACAATTGATTTTAATATTTCATGTCATTTTCCTTATCTTAGGAGTAGTTTAATATAGATTTATATTTCAAAGCATTTTATGCACTTCCTCTTCGAAGCATAGGAGTAGAGGTAAGTAATTATTGCTTTGATTGTTCACTCAATCATCTTTTTCCGTCTCCCTCATTCTTCTTTTAATTTTTCTTTTCTCTACACTTGGCAATTTTGAAGTCCTCTTTGTTGAGGCAAAAGAACCGTCAACGCAATCGCTTGATAATTGGCTTGAATTTAATCTGTAAGGATTTTTCAATCATTGCTGGCACGCTCGCATTTATGATATTTTCCTTCGTAGGAAAAATAAGCTAACACATACTTATGTATGATTATCATGGGCTATATTTCCCTCGTATGTTTGTCTCTTGCTCTTTTATATTACCGAATTACCGAATGTGACTATCTCGCTTATCAAAATATCTAACAAACAGGAAATGAAAAGGGGTTGGTAATGTTAAGTCTTGCGTAAACGGTCTAAGCGAACCCCTAGGATGGCACGGATGTATTTAGACTCTATGCGGTGGTTTTAGGGTGTAAGTGAGCCCTTTGGTATGGTATATGCAGGGTGTAAGCAAGCCCTACGCACGATTTGGTATGGTATGTGCAGAGTGTAAGCGAGCCCGCAGGATTTGGGTATAAGTGAGCCCATTTGTTTGGTCATTCCTTTTGAGGTCCATCAGTGTCACTACCTGATATATAATCGGTGTGGGCATTGGTGACAAGGTCTGCAAAGCAACAAAATGGGGAGTTCTGAATAGTCCAGTGTCCAATCCTTGTGGTTGGGAGAAAGGATCTCTTTGGGGGTTCTAGATGTCTAGTCTAACTACTAATCCAGGGAACCTTATTGTAGTATTGTATTATGTGTTACCCGATTTGTTCTACATATGGTTAATTAGTTGTTAGAAGGTAGGAGGGTGTGTGCGTTCTTACTGGACATTCCAAGCTCATGGCGTGTCATGCCAGGTGATGAAGTAGTTTACAATGGTGAAGGTTATTTCGAAGGCAAACAAGATGAAGTGTTGGAGTTATGGTTCATTTGAAGACTTAGACTAGTTGTTTGTTTTTTCCTTTTAATTTTTGGTTTGGCAATGTTTTGTAATCTTGTAATGGAACATAAACGAATGATCTGCGATATTAACTCTAGTTATATATGTATATTAAGATATTTTGGTTATTTATCCTACTTGTGTTGTGTTATTGTACTTATTTAATGGCCCAAAAGTTGGGGCGTTACAGAATGGTATCAGAGCTTAGGTTCAACCCTTACCCACTCGTTTCGACTTCAAACGATTTGACGATCACTTACGAAGGGAAGTGGTTTTAACTTTGAACAGGGCAACGTATTTCCTCTCAATCTACCCGATGATTTTCACCCAAATAAATTCTGTTGGAAAGAGGACTCAGAATTCTAAATTTTGACAGAAGAACCAACATGAGATGATTTTTCTGGAATTTTATAAAATTGCAAGAAGTGGACTGTTTTTCAGAGAATCAGGACCAGGATTTTAAACAAAATATCCAAGCCCTAAAAACACACAATGAGGGGCAAATAAAATTATTACAAGCTCTAAACACACCAAATATCCTACACTAAATTCAGATTTGAGAAATAAATAAATTTGATATTTCTTTTGAATTAGAGAAGTAGCAGCAGTGCATAATTTGACAAATTTGCAAGACAAAATCATTAGATCATACCCACACTTTCATACACACCAAAAACCCTATTGACCATTAATTTACAACACAAGAGGGCATACTAGACAATAGGATGAGATGGGTGAAAGAATTGGAGAAGATAAGGAAAAGATGTATTCTTACCTTGACTCAAAAAGACACCTTTTCTTCCTTCTTTATTTTTTTTATTTTCTCTCTTCTTCTCTACTTCTCGCTAATCACACTCTCCTTCTCTCATCCTCTCACTGGGCTGCTGAAATGTGTGTATAAGGAATTGAGGCAATGCTCTCAATTTATAAGTGTTAGAAATTGGGCGCTCATGTGGCATGACCCATGACCCTTTTGAACCTTATCCATGTAAGTTTGAATTTGAATTCAAAACTTATTTGGATAACCCACTCATGATATCTATATCTATCATATCAACTGATATGGATAGATGATATACTTAGCCTATATATCTGATACGATATATGGGATATGGGATAATGAAACAACGTATATGTTTTCTATATTGACTCTCTTCCATTAAAACAACGATCAAGCTTTTTGCACTGTGATTTGTGTGGGTGATACTCATATTGTGATATCACTCCACTGCTGGGTGTTCGTTGTTCGTATTTTTGAAGTACGTGATTTACCCACGAGATTCTTTGCTTCAGGTTCTATCACCTAAGGTATGATCTGAAATTTTTTACCCGCTGCATTATACTGAATTAACATTGGTATTAGAGCTTTAATGGATATTTTCGTGCTTATTTTATGCATTAAAATATGTGTATAATTTTATACAAATATATACATGATATATGCATGAAAATTAATAATTTTTTCGAAACTTTACGTGCATGATGGTTTTACATGCTTTAATTTTTGTCTGCAAATCTTACATATTTAGAATCCTTGTTTCGAGACCTTCGAAACCATATATTATTTGTTAGATTTGGATTTACGTTTGATGAGATACATCAAACCCTAATTTGGGTTCGTTTTTGATTTTTTGATGGCTTAAGGAGGAAGAAGAAGTGCAGGTTTCTGCAGTTTCACTCTCATTAGAGAGAGTGTGTAATACACCTCATAATTTATGTTCATTAAACGTTATTTTTAAGACCACAAACGTTTTTATTTTGGAAAATGAAGTTCGGCAGTACCAAAATTAAACCAGAAAACGCCCCGGAAGGCGGCGCGTGAGCCGCACGCTCCAGATGACGCCGTTAGCAGCGGCCAGACGTTGCCATGTGCCAGGCGCTCTTCCCACGCGCTACCACGTGCACACTGTTTGAGCCATCACCCACGCGTCGTCCTCGTTGTCACGCCCGCCACGCCACGCCATTTTCTGCGCCGGCTTGGCTGGCTTGGCTACTGGGTGCTAAGGCGCTGTTTGTTTTTTTTTAAATTCTGAATCGCGTTAAATGGTCATAAATAATTTGTTATAGCTTTGATTTGAGCATGGTTGGTACTGTTGGACTTAGAATTGAATTTTTTATCTTCTGTAAAATTTTCAAAATTTTATGAAAATAAAAAATATTTTTCTTGAGATAATAATTCATTATTTCTACTTTAAAATGCTTCTGGTGTTGCATGACTAATTTTCTGGGGCTAAAATTTTTATTGTAGACTACTGCAAAGGTTTTCTATTTACTGGTATTTTTTTTCAGCTTACTAGATTCTGGAATATTTATTTCTAATTTTATGTGTGTTTATTAGTTATTTAAAATTCCAAAAAAAATTCAGAATGATGTACATTCTATTATGGCATAATCTGAATATTAAATACAACATATTATTTTTTTTAGGGTTTGTAATATGTTGTGATTAGAAAAGCATGCTTAGTTTTTTTTATTTATTTAAATTCTATTATTAAATGAATATAGCATGTTTAAATTTACATTAAGATGCTATTGTATGGAATTTATTATGCTTCGTATATGCCATAAGTAGTGGGAGCTTGAATTTTTTTTTTTTTTTTTTTTTTTGCGCATGGAATTAAATTAAATTTTGATAATTGTCACTAGAGACGCAAGAGATGATTACGAGCATAACAAATTTTCGATCTTGAGACATGTGTAATATTATCATTATTTAATTTAGATTTTTTTTTGCTGCAAAATAATTTTTGTGTTGCTATCATTAATATCCCCTGCGCATTTGTTTACTCTGTATATAGAAATGGCTGCTAAGACAGTGGTGGCAGAATTAACTAAAAGAGAGAAATTGGATGGGGACAATTATGACATATGACACCGTAAGATCCAATACCTCCTCAATGAGCAAGAAGTGTTGACCACACTTGAACAAGTGATGGTGGAGCCAGAGCAGGGCAATATAGCTCAACATCGTCGTGATCTTGAAGTCTTTCAAACTTGGCGTAACAAAGATCGGTGTGTGTGCTTTACCATGTTGAGCAGCATGCACAACGACTTGATTAGTAAGTTTGAGCATTGCCCGACTGCATTTGAGATGTGGGAAGCTCTCAAGCAAAAGTTTGGTATTACCTCTTTGGCAAAGCTACGTGGGCTGACTATGAAGTTTGACTCCTATCAGAAAAGGGCGCATCACTCGATGAAGCAGCATTTGAGGGTCATGTCAGCCATGATACGTGAGCTTGCGGCTGCTGGGCACAATTTGACTCAAGAGCAGCAAGTACAAGCTCCGATAGAACACCGATATGAGCTTATATGTCCACTCCACCAGACGTGCAATTGGCATTATTACAAAGACTGGAATGTTAATTCTTGGCCTGCAAACTAGCTCGGGATTGCCCTGAGCAGAAGAAGGTACTCCCTTACTTAATTTCTTGCATTTAATGCTTTGTTTCTAGTCAAGCATTAATTGCTCATTCTCCTCATTTTTGGGTTGTAGACTCCGGAGCAACAGACCACATCGCGAGGGACAGAGTAGGGTTCGTTGAGTATCGTCGAGTACCTGCTGGGAGCAGAAAAGTTTACATGGGGAACGAGTCCAGTGTGGAGGTGCTTGGCATTGGCTCATTCAAGCTGGAAATGCGACGAGGGCGCACCTTGTATCTTCATGATGTTCTTTATGCTCCGGATATTCGGCGAAACTTAGTTTCAGTTATTAGCATGATGAGCCTTGG